TTGTGCCAGTTCATTAAAACAAGCAATTAGGATACTGTTCACCTTTTGGCTTATTCAATGGTATATATGTATGTGTGTGTGCTGGGGAGGGGTGTGTATTCTAATACAGTTGACCCTTGAACAACACAGTTGAAAATCCACTTGTGATTTTTGACTTGCCAAAAATTTATTGTTGACTGGACACATATATTGTATGTCATATATATTATATATTCTATACTTTATTATATACTATTACATAATATATATTAAGTATATATTATATACTTAATTATATACTTATAATTAAGGAAATGTTATTAAGCAAATTATCAGGAAGAATAAAATATATACTTACAGTCCTGCACTGTGTCTATAAAACAAATCTGCATAGAAGTAGACCTATGTATTTCCAACCTGTGTTGTTTGAGGGTCAACTTACTCTTTCTGAAAGAAGCACAAGGAAAGTACCGTGGAAGAACAAGTTGTTCTTGTGATTTTTGTCCTCAAAAATTAAGAAAGCTCAGTAAGGAAATATGACAGGAGCCTGGTAAATAGCTCGGTTTTTACCTTGATGAATGCAAGAAGCCAGAGACCTAACTGAAGTAGGATATCGGCATTTATCTCTTGTTCCTGGCAGCCACTCTATCTAGCAGCTTGTAGTGCACAAGAACTGTCTTCTCCCTTATCAGTGAACTGGTTTGTCATCCCTAAAGCTTTTTCATTGCTCTCCTCCCATTCACTGTGGCCTCACACATGATGAACCTACTCACTGCAAAAGTTCCATATATCATACGGGACATCAAGGCCTGTCAGATTCTAAGGTGGGAAGTAAGGGAAAAAACCACATATTTTTAATTTTAGATTTTTTTTTTTACATTGTAATTTCTTAAGAGTTTGGTTTGATTTGTGCCATTTCTGGGCCTGTAAGCCTCCCTAATGCATCACAGTTCTGGACAGAAAATTTCATATCTCTGGCAGCCCCAATGGCGCAGCGGTTTAGCGCCGCCTGCAGCCCCGGGGTGTGATCCTGGAGACCCGGATTGAGTCCCATGTTGGGCTCCCTGCATCGAGCCTGCTTCCCTTTCTGCCTGTGTCTCTGCCTCTCTTTCGCTCTCTCTGAATAAATAAATCTTTAAAAAAAAAAAAAAGAAAATTTCATATCTCTTATTTAGCCTAGAACCTTAAATGCTAGTGAGTTGTAGTTAACACTTAGCAATTGTTAGGGTTTGCAGTGAAGCTCTCTTTTCGTCCCTGTGCTTTTCCATCAGTGCCCCTGCATTGATGGACATAGATCAAGATGTTGTGCGGCCCTGCAGGGGCTCTGCACCATGTGACAGTCGAGGCTCATGCAGCTAGTTCACATTATTTCAGCCCTTATCTCAACGTTCTCATTTCTCTGTCGTCCCCAGTGTATATAATATGTACTGGCTTGAAATTCCTTATATATTGCTTGCACATTCTTGCTCTTACGTTTCAGCGCATACCAGTTCCTTCGCTTTAGCACGCCTTCTCTAACTCCCCTCCACCAGTCCATACCTTGTCTTTTTAAAACTCCATCTCAGAAGTCACCCCTGTGGAAAGACTGATTAATCGCCTCCACCCGATTGCTGTATTCAGAGACTTCTGTTTCTCAGCCCATTCTTCAAACTGTTTTTCCTTTGTGATTGTTGCTTGTGTACCTTGTCACCCAACAAGCATAACGATCCTAGGAATGATGATTTTCCTGTTTCCCCTTGTCTATTACACACAAACATTTTGGAGGCCTACTGACAGCCTTCTTAGTTTCCCCAGAGTTCTAGTCCACCTTCCACACCCTTTCCCTTTACATCATAGCTAACTGCCTAGAGAAACAGGGCACGTGTTCAGGGCTCGGCCTCCACCTCAGCATGTGTGTGGCAGCCCGCTGAATAAGTCCCAACAAATGGGAAGGATTTAACCCTTTGGCTTGGCAGCCTCTGCATTCTCCTCAGACACCTTCAAGAAGTAGATATGGGATCAGAAATAGGTCTGGAGACAGGAGCAGGGAAATTTTTAATGAAGGCTTTTTCCTTCCTTTTTACACAAGACCCATGCAGCTGCTGTCGTCAGCAGCTCACCCGACACTCTCCTGCTCTGCCTCTTTTCCAGGAGTCAGGGTTAGTTTAAGAAAAAGCCTTTTGCTAGAAGCCATGACCTCGTACTTTTATCCCCTCCATCTGGTGTGCGGCCTCATGGGGCTGTGCTGCTATGCAGGAGGTGAGCAGTGGAATTCTTTAGATGATGACTTCTGAGCCCACATGCGGAGGCAGTGGGGGTGGGGAGCAGGGAGAGCAGTGAGAGCCAAGATCGATGGACCAAAAAGTAAGGTTTGCTCTGGGACAGATCCTGACTATAGGTAGACTGTTTTCATGAGGTGTCCTTCCCCTAGCTCAAGTGGGGGCCCGGGTCTATGATGGATGAACACTGTGTTCCTGCAGTTTTCCCTTCTGCCTTCACAGTTGGGGTGCGCAAGTGGGATAAGTTGGATATATGCAGGCTCAGGCTGTTTCTGAAGGAATGCATTCCAGGGTTGAACAGGGAAGGGTTCCCCTTGCACACGTCCTCTCTTGGAGCTGCTTTGTCTCACTGTCTTGGACCTAAACAGAAGTCCAGATTTTGAATGAGGGCGGGAGGAGGGGTTGAGAGCAGCAAAAGTTTTTGATCAAGTAAGAATCTGTTGTCTGCCTCATCTTGTAGAGGTTTCTCTGCAGGGTGAATTCTCCTTGCCATGGTGTAGATAAATTACTTATCTCAGCTAGAGATCCCAGGACTTTTACCAGGCCTTGAGTAGGCATCTTGCCTGGGATAGGATGGGTTTTTAGCATTCTCATTCCCTGTTCTTACTTTCCTAGCCCAGGAGTTGACAGCATTTAAAAAAAAAAAAAAAAAAAGAGTGAAATCTCAAAGGAAATTCTAAGAAATACTTTAGAGGCCCAAAACTTTAACAGTTTCCTATCATGGCTTCTCAGGACTACTTGTACTCTGCACACTCAGCATCACTTTAAAAGAACTAGATAAAATTAAAACAAATGTTTAAGTGTTAATCTGAAGAAGAAGAAAAAAAAGAGAAAGCACTAGGAGCCAGAGTTGATTAAATGCAGACTGCTTAGCGTAGTGATCATTTTGTGGTGGTGGAAATAGTGGTGGAAATGACAGGGGATTCCTTGATGTGGCTAGAGAAGGCCTAGGCTGTTTCTTTTGTAAATTCTGCTCACATATACTCTCCTCAATATTTTGTATCAGTGTCTGTTCTGAAGGGGCTGGGACTCTGGCCCTTCCAGCCAGAGGCATGTTCTCAGGCTTTGAGAAGAACACACAAGATTTGAAGTGAGAAGCCCCGGATTTGAGTTCTGTCTGCGCCACTCAGTATCACATGACCTTGGACAAATCACTGAACCTTTCTAAACAGCACCTGTACAGTGAGAATGTCTCTTGCCTTACAGGGTGGCTGTGAAAATTATGTCCATGGTAAAGCATTTTGTACCTGAAAATGCTTCTTACAAACATCACAGTTTTTCTTGGGGGAAACTCCACCTTGAAAGTTGTCAGTAGGACAATGTGGATTAAATGTTCTTCCCTGGGGCCCTTGGGTGACTCAATGGTTGAGCGTCTGCCTTAGGTTCAGGGCGTGACCCCCATGTCCCACATCGGGTCCCCACAGGGAGCCTGCTTCTCCCTCTGCCTGTGTCTCTGCCTCTCTCTGTGTCTCTCATGAATGAATAAATAAAGTCTTTAAAAAATAAAAAAATAAATGGTCTTCCCTTTTTATTCACTCAGCCTTTCTGGTCAGGCTTGCTTTCAGGGGCTGGTGGTAGTGAAGTAAAGTCACTGGATTTCAGCTCCATTGGGTCAAAGAAAGAGAACTTCTGAGTCTAGCTGCTCCACCCATAGACTCATAGGCCTAATGGAAGTGAACACACAGTAGTTCAGAGTTAGGGGGCCCAGGGGAGAAAGCTTCACTTGCTTTTTTCAACTCTAGGATGACTCAAATGTCTTAAGTGAGGAAGAGCCACAAAGCTGCTTAGGGATAATTTAAGCCATGAATGGGAAGTGAAAACATGTACTTAAAAACTGTCCCTCTCTGAGCAGCCTGGGTGGCTCAGCGGTTTAGTGCCGCCTTCGGCCCGGAGTATGATCCTGGGGACCTGGGATCGAGTCCCACGTTGGGCTCCCTACATGGAGCCTGCTTCTCCCTCTGCCTGTGTCCCTGCCTCTGTCTCTCCTGAATAAATAAATTTTTAAAAATCTTAAAAAAAAAAAAAAAGAAACAACCTGTCCCTCTCTTCTTTCCCTTTGACCTTTTGCGTCAGGGACAGGCATATTACTGACACACCACTGGCTATTGCCTGAAACCTGCCAGTCACCCAAAGGTAATAACAGCTTCTAGGAAAGTTCCATTCAGTGCAGCAACTGTGACATATTTACCTTAGTAAAGCCATGCTTGCTCCTCTCCAGTACCTCTCTCCGGAGGAGATTATCTCGGGTACCCAAAGCTATCCTTGTTAAAAATAACAGGTCGTGGTCAGCAGGCTTGGTAATCCTACCTCGTGTAGTCCTAGGAGGCTGCCCCATCAGTCTTAGCACACAGGGCAGGAATTGCACCACCTCCAGCATGAACCAGCCATGAGAAGTCCCACGGTTTTAGCCATTCTGCTTGGGTGGCAATTGTCTCCTGTTGATTTCTCCTCTCTATGCCCTTTCTGCATCCTTTTCCTGCCACCTCCCAGGGGAATACCCGTCCCCAAACCACAGAGCTGCTTGTGTATTAATAATGGACCTTCTTAATATTCCTTTGTGATGGCTGAATCTCTGATGTTGGTATGATTTTTGAAGAATTTGACCGAAATCCAGTTGCTCATTTTATTGTTGGGGAGAGGGAGGAGGACTAGAACTCTGCTGTGGCCTGGGAGAAGATAGTGTATGTCCACAGAAGCGCACCTCGTGTGTGTGCATATCCTCAGCGTTGTGTGCAGGCTCACAGAAGGAGCAAAGAGTGGAAAGGAAGCATCTTTCTTGTTTTCCAACATTGCTTCAAAGGTGCCCAACTCCCATAGTAGCAAGCATTTCCTAAGTGGAAAGTGGGGGCAGAGGCCTCTGCCAAGGCCATCAATAACCAGGTGTGAGCTACAGGTCTCCGTGTAATGTGAAGCTTTCCCGTATTTCATTTCTGCACCCAGGGGGCGGCTCTGCAGGATTGCTTACGGAGAGCTCTGTGTCTGGCACCTCTCTCCACAAGGCCCAGGAGCCCAGGGTCCCACGGACCTGCCCAGGAATGCATCACATTATTCTCTGGTGCTGTAATTTGGCTGCAGGAGCAAGGCTGACGGCCTCCCAGGGATGAGAAACATACTCTCCCTGGTGTCCTCCCTTGGGCTTCTGCCCTATGACCACTGAGAGTGTTTAAAAACCTCAGAAAAGACTGAGAGGGAAAAAATCCTGATTATCTCTCTTCTGTTAAGCCATGTAGAAACCAATGTCCTGAGTGGATCTGAGAATTTGGCAAAAGACTTAGGGGTTGGTGTTCTTACTACAGGAGGTAAGAAAAAGGAGAAGAAATTACTCTCTGCAGTAGGGAGGAAGAGAAATGAGGCCATGAGTCGTCATGAGTCAGACCTATAAGATTTTCTACAAACAGACGTTCAGGGCCAGGCAGTGTTTAATTTTTAAAAAATAATCCCAAGTCCCTGATTTCATTTTTCCAGCATCGTTCTAAGAAAGCATATAGGTTTGTGCTATTATTCAAGGCTAGCAATAACAGACATTGGCTCTTATCTGCACGACTAGGTTAAGGCTGGCTTTCTTACTTGTACGTGATGGAAACTGGCCACAGGCTGTGCAGCCGAGGTACTTCAGCCATGTGCCTTCTCTAAAAGAGGCTAAGACTTTTAAAGGATGGAGATGATGTCTTTGAAGTTAACTTTGTATCCAAATAGCACTTTCTGCAATGCATTCTACTAAATATTAAAAGTGTGAAGAAATGAGGACTGACATGAAGGAGTGTCCGAGAGGAGAGGGGCTAGGGGACAGCTGCAAGAGGGACAGACCTCTATTGACCAGAGAAGGGGTAGGAGAGGGGGTTAGAGGCAATGAGTGGGTGACAGCAGAACCAAATGGAGCCCTGATTGCACCAAATGCAGCTCTCCTTTTGCTGCTTGTTTCAAATAAATTAGTTTATTGCAGAATGGATGCCAGTTGTCTAAAGCCAATCAGAATGCAGAGGCAAGCTAAGAAATAAGAGGAAAAATTACTTGTTTGGCCATCATTCCTTCTTGGGACCACATAGCCTCTGTAGTGGGACTCACATGGACCTCTTTTCTCTCACTGTCCACTCCTCTGTTCAAATATCTTACTCTCTGGACAGCTTGTTCTTCTCTTAATCGTTTATAGGAAATTGTAAAACTTGGACCTCTACAAACTAGAATTGGAGGCTAGGAGAAGCACAGAGCAATAATGAGATGCCAGCTCCTTCCACAGGGAAGGAACTGAAAAGGAATAGGTGACAGAACACAGGCAGATTGAACCTGGGTTGAAGTCCCAGAAATGCCTCCCTCTCAATGATGTGGTAAGCCGAGCATTCTTGTGAGAGCAGGGGCTGACCAAGACCAAGATTCCATCAGCTCTATTCTTGATTCAGACTGACTATGACCCTCTCACCTTCCCACTACCCCAAGGCTTTCTTCCTCCTCATCCCAGCTCAAGATGTCAGAAGCTCTTCTCTTCCCCTCCTGTTTCCCCCTCCCTAATCCCACCATTGGCTCATCAGTTATCCAGTTGACTCTACTCTGCAAGGAAGACATTCCCCTGGCCTGACTCACTCAGTCCCATTTCTCCACAGGAATCCCCTCACCGCAGACCACAAGGGCCCTGACTAGCTCATGTTTTGTGTTAATAGATGTGAAACCGGAGCAAACCCCTCACCAAAAGAAAAACCACCCTAAACTCTCCCACACAGGTCTCAGCAGGTTACACAAATATTAGTCCTATCATCCAAATAAATCTGCCCCCATGGCCCAGAGCTTGACTCCCCCATCCTTCTGCTGCCTGTGCAGAGTGAAGCTGCTCCACAAACACGTGAGGACCCCAAGGGATGTTGGAGAGGAACTTGGAAAGGAGGAGTGCCCCTATATTCAGAATTCCGTGTGTGGGCCCCTTAATCTGCAGCCTGCTGTCAATATTTTACGGTTCTCAATGGAAGGTTCCAAGAGATGTCATGATGGGCTAGACCAGTTAGGGACTTTGGTAAGAGCATCTGTTGGCTGGAATTGGGTTCATAATTAAAACTGAATATGTGGAATAAGTTTATAACCTCGTTTTACAGATGAGACGATAAAGGCTCAGAGAATTTGGGTATTTTGCTCAAAATATCAAAAACAGTAAATCTCACATCTGTGATTTCAATCCAAGTCTGTCATAACTGCAAATTTCTATGCTACTCTGGTCTTTTAAAATATCACCAGGCAGAGACAGCCATTGTCCAAGTCACAGAAAGATAGGACATCATAGTTTTTGGGACTCTGTATCCTCTCCTCTAGCTTACTAACTACGCCTACCATCTCTGGAGACTCCACTACTGCAAGCTTAATTAGGCAGTGGGTAGTAGCATAGAAGGAATTCCCCTATTAAGCCAAAGATGGAGTGAACAATAATAATCACCAGGACTTGGAGAGTCAGTAAATAAAAATTTGTTGAATAAATGGGGAAAGGCTGCTTTTAAAGCTGTTTACCACTTTGGCCCCAAGCCCCAGCAATTCTTTCCTCTGTAGCCACTGGCTTCCATTCCTAGCTTCAAAGACCAGGATCCTCTCCTAAAAACTGGCCGAGCCAGAGTTCCCAACCTGCTTAGTATACACGGATGACTCATGTGGGGCCCTTGAGATTAGGCCGGTTACCCTCTCCCACCCCCCATGAATCCCATACCTTTTTACTGAGGGTTTCCCAAACCTGGCTGACCTCCAGAATAATGCATGGAAACTTAAAAAGTAATAAATCCCAAGGCCTAGGCAAGTTTGCTAAATTATTCTTTCTCAGGAGTGTTCTAGGGTATTCTAATGATATGTTAGGCTAAGAACCACTCCATGCCCCTGGGTTTGAACAGGCAGCAAGTGAGCAAAAGGGGAGTGAGCAATGTGCTGTCTGATATAGGTTGAAAAGAGGAGGGAGATTGGAAGAGAAATGTATGTGTGTATAGTTATATAACTTTTTCCCCTACAAAATACAGCAGTTTATAAAACCTATGAGGATGTGAATGGAACCTTGTACACTATGGCTAACTCTTATCTAGCAATCCCAGGTTCTTGATAATGGAGGAAGGTCGTAGCCTAAGAGTTTCTTTTGGGGTACCAGGCAGTCTGCTCAAATTGACCCAGGGAAGAGATGTGGTTGCATCTCTGTCCCGTCTACTCTCAGTCAGGTAGGAACACAAAGAAGCTCTCTCCAGGTACCCTTCCTCTTGCACACATAAGAAGTGTCAGGAAGCCGGTACAAAAGAAAGGAAAAATGAGCCTTGACCATGTGCTTTAGTGCAACTTATATAACTCCGAAGACCCCTACCTCTTCCACTGTCCCTTCTAACCTCTGGAGGGGGCAGTCAGGGAGCCATTCAATTTCTTACATCCCCTGTCAACTCCTTCCTAGGGCTAAGGAACCAGTCAGGACACTAGAGTCCTTCTGGATTATTCTCCAAGTCCTTAAATAGAAACTGTAGCAGCCCAGAGTTGAGGGTAGAGGAAGGTGTGCATGCAAAGATCTTGTGCTTTTGAGTCAGGAGGTTTGAAGTAGAGGGATGAGTGAGGTATTAATATGTTCAGGTCTGGTCCAGCCACTCTGCCTTCTTGGGGGCCTTGCAAGTATGGACGTCCACAGTGTTTCTGCACTCCTTGCACCGCACTGCACAGCACCAGTGGAATTTGCATTCACACTGGGTGACACGGGTGACTCGAGTTGTGTCATATCCTCGGCCACAGCACATGATTTCACAACCATCTGTCCCTTTAGATGTCTTGCTGCAGACTCGGCCCGCAGTGCCTAGGGAACCTGGGTTGGAGAAAAGAGAGAGTGAGAACCAAGTTACCTCTTATGCTCTGGGTTCCCTTACCCACATCCTCATGAGGAAGCCATAAAGAATCTCTTTTCCTGAAAATATGCCCAACTAGTCAAAATAACCATCTTCTTACTTCCTTCTGCACCAGCCTGGCTTCTTCCCACCATTAAGGCTCCCCAAAGACCATTGAGTTCACCTGCAACAGCCCCCCTGCCAATACACGGCTCCATATCTCTTTCAAGACCTGGCCTTAAAATGTTCCTGTTAAAGCTGGCTAAGGGCTTTGTTTGAAGTTGTCCACACTAAAAAGTTAAAAAAAAAAAAAAAAAACAACTTAGCCTATAATTTATATTTTCCAAGAAGTCTTGCCACAACTCTGATCCAGCTACCATTTGTTAGTATTTCGGTCAGTAGTTGATCTTTTATTAAGTTGTACTATTCAGGGAAGTAGTACAGTATGGCCATTAAAAGCATAGGCCTTATTGTCAGATTGTCCAAGTTTAAATTCCAGCTCTGCCACATCCTAGCTGTGTGATTTCCCAAGGTAGTTCATCTCTCTGGACTTTAGTCTTCTCCTATGAAAATAGGCATAATAGTAGCATCTGACTCAGTGGATTGTTATACCATGACTATAATCTCTGTTCAACTGAGGGAGGTGAACTGATTAGCTTTATTGCCCAGAAGCATATCCCTATGGGATTCCTACAGAATATCCCTTGCCTTGCCCCTTACAGTTAGGAAGCCTTGAAGGGAAAGGATGATGTTCGCTCCCTGCACAGAGAATGCTCAGGACTTCATTCTGACTGATTTTAGCAAAAGAGATCCTGCGAACAGATCATAAAATCATAGAAATTTGGAAGGGGTAGACCCTAGAAAGTACCTACTCTAACCCGTCCGCAGAGATGGGTCAGGGACTGACCTGGGGATTGAGAAAGGGGAACAGAATGACTGATTTTCTCACAGTAGGCTGTGCATTCTACTGCGATATGCAAAGAAAAATGCTAGAACTTAGAACTTCTATATTTGTTTTTTATCTCATAAACTTAAAATCTCTACTTTGTATGTTTTGTAATGTACATATTAGTATCTATCTGTTGTAAGTAAATATCCACATTTTGGAGGTACACGCTCCAAGAATTTTTTAACGATAGGAGTTTAAATCCAAAATGTTAGGAAGCCACTTCTCTGGTGTGTAGGCTAACTAGTTGTACTCTTTCTGTTAGTCTTCTAACTCCAAGGACTGGGCTTAAGTCCTTCTCTTGTGTAGCCAAAGCTCTTCTACTTTCTGGAGCTGAGGTGTCCAGTGTAATAGCCACTGACCACATGTGGTCATCCAGATTTAAATTAACTAAAATTAAATACAATTTAAAACTTAGTTTCTCAGTCACACTAGCTATATTTCAAATACTCAATAATACCATGTGGGTAAGTAAGTGGCTACCGTATTGGAAAGCACAGACATAGAACATTTCTGTCATCACAGAAAGTTCAATTGGATAGGACTGCTTTGGAGGGAATTTCTGGCCCCCTACTCCCTTTTGGGATGACTTACACCCTTTGAATTCCAGGCTCCACTTTGGGTTTTATGAGACTTAATTTTATGTCTCTAAGAAAAACTAACACACATATGACCCCATCCTCCCTTGTAACTCCAAAGATCCTTCCCAAAGGTGCATTTTAAGGATGGCAGCATAGGCTTACACCTCGGATGTTATGGAATTATTTCAAGGCATTCAGAGACTGGTCCTCTGAATCCTGTCACTTGGGGAGAAAACATACCTTGTGGCGGGAAGTCACTGGGAGAATTGGAAGGGCTCTTTTAACCCTTCTCCTAGCACCATCCAAAGGACACAAACTACTTTCTGTGTTACTTGGGTGGAGCCCACCCTGTTTCTGTGCCCAGTTTTGCTCTGAGCCACTTGACTCTCAGGAAGAACAGTGATGGGTGAAAACAAACAGACCTGAAGACAACTGAGGTCTCTGGCTCTCTCTCACCCAAGGCCTGAATGCCAAGTCTACAGAGAAGAGCCTGAGAGCCTGTGACAGTAACAGGGGAAGAGCAGTTCTTTTGTGCTGCAGGTTGTTCCTAGTCTAACCTGCCTGAACTAAAATAAGAGCCAAGATGGTAACTTCTCCTCTTTGGGGGTGATAGCATATCAACTGCCAGCATGCCCAAGAATTCCACCACAAATACCTGGAACATAATAAAAAACAGGTTGCTGCTAGTGATTAGCCCTCCTGGGATCTCCTCTATCCGTGTTCCCCCAACTCCATTTTTGAATCTTCAATGGCAGCACACTGGATAGAGCCTGTTAAGGCCACTAATGGTCTGATCCGGAGCCCATCTTATCTCCAGTCTCCCCTATCCCAAACCATCATTCAGATTAATCTGAGTCCTCAGTTCCCAGAACAGTGGTGTACTTTCCCACCTGCCACTCTGCTTATCTGCCTGGTCTCTGTAGGCTGTCCAGGTCATCCCTACACTTCAAGAAAGAGCTTCAATTCCACATTTTCAAATAAGCTTTTCTTGATTTCTCAAGTCATCTGTCTTTTGCAGTTGCCTTTGTCTCCCTGTTGCATCTCATTTTTTAGCTAGATCATAAAGAGCCAGAGACTTAGAGCTCCATCACATGCTTTTTCTGTTCAGTCCACTCATTGTTGGCTGTGGAAAATGGGTGACTCGTTTAAACATTCCCTGAATAGCACCTACTATACCCTCAGATGCTGGGGATTTAAAGGAGTGACAGATGACTTCTCCCCAGCATGGGCAGCCCTGGGACCGGAGGCCTGAGGCATTCATCATCAATCTCATTAAAAGGTGTTCATGTAGGGAGGAGACTGACTCCTCCCACAATACTGCTCCCCTAACATCATGATTAACCAGGGGTGCCTGCACCAAGAGCAGGGCTCTTGTATGCATGTCCCTTTCCTTACTCACCTGCAGCCTTGTCCAAGACACAGTAATCTGGGGAGTTGTCAAAGTAGACAAGGTCAGTCCGGGTGGCACGGCGGTAGCCTTGGCGGGCTGCTGTGAAGTTGGCACCATCCTGGGTTGCCGTCACCTGCACAGCACCATCATAGCGCCGCCGCAGGTAGTCACCTGTGCGGCGGAAGTCTGAGAGCGCACGCCAGCAGGTGCGTAGAGTACAGGAGCCACTTACGCCATGGCACTTACACTCGAGCTTCAGAAACCGCCGCACAGCCTGGGTGGTGGGGAAGCAGGTAAGGGAGAGGCAGCCAGTCAGGGCACTTTTCAGTCCTCCCCAGGGCTGAAACCATGAGCGCTCTGACGTCTGCCGGACCTGGCCTAGGCTGGACAGGGGGGCCATCGGTTGTTTCCTCTCCCCCTGTCAGATCCCACCCTTTCTTCCTGATCAAATTCAAGAACCTCTTCTTCAGGGATCCTTCCTGGACCAACAGTGCTTTCCTTTCCATGGTAGCCTGTTTGAACTTCAGAGCCACAGGATTATGTTCATAATTACAGCATGCTATCACATCTTCCAGTTATCACATGTTTTTAGGGTTCAAGGTGCCATGCCTTCTACCTCTGGCATGCCATTATCCAGCACAGTACATACTAGGCACATCGGGGGTGCTCAGAAATCAGTGAACTGACTAGAACAAGATCTCATCCTCCTCAGTCTTTATGGAGGTGGTTCTTTTCCTTCTTAAAAAGTTATTTCCCCTTGGGATACCTGGGTGGCTCAGCGGTTGAGCGTCTGCCTTCAGCTTAGGTCGTAACCCCGGATTCCCAGGATCGAGTCCTGCATCTGGCTCCAGAAGGGAGGCTGCTTCTCCCTCTGCCTGTGTCTCTGCCTGTCTTTCTAGGTCTCTCATGAATAAATAAAATAATAAAACCTTAAAAAAAAAAAACAGTTATTTCCCCTCTTTTCTCTACCTTTTCCTTCTTTCCACCTCTGTGAAGACACATTATGCACCTGGTTGAATCTAGACATTCCCAAGCTCCCTTGTATGTACTGTTCCTATCCCATAGGGGCTGGGACCTTTGGAGTGAAGAAGCCATTAGTGCTTCCACCTTCCCATTCAGTCCACGATCACACATACTGGTCACCCCCAGCAGACATGAATGTACATGCATAGACATAAGTACTGACCGTGCGACCACAGCGGTTGTTATGTAAGTTCATGAGGGCCCGGGCATCCTTAAGCCTCTTTTCCTTGGCGTCCACAAAGGCCTTGGCAAAGCGAACACCATAGTGGATGTTGTCACTGCAGCCACCCCAGTCAAAATCCCCACGTTGGTCATGGTGTCGGCCACGGGTGTAGGGGTCACAGCTGCACACACTCAGTTCACCCTGGCTACAGGCACGGGTGATAGCATGGACCACCCCCGCTGATGAGATGGCATATACAAATGCTGCTTCCCGGCTACCTGCAGAGAGAAAAGTAGAAGTAGGTTTCAGAAGGGAGGCCCATGTCTGTCACCTTCTTCAGCCCACACAACTCCCGGCTCTGCAGCCTCCTCTCTTCATGTCTTTCACAGAGCAACTTCTGCACCCCCTTTATTCAAGGCACCCTTCCTTTTCAAGAGCATTCCCCAGAGTATCTGACCTCTCTCCCTCAACCCTCACTACTCTCTGTCCACTTCTTTGTACATCTGACCTCTCTTGGGCTGACCTGTACTCTTGCTTTCTTCCAAACTCTCTGGGTCCATCCATTGAAAAGCTTGACAGTGAGTCATCCCCTCCCACTGAGTGCCAATCCAGGCTCAGCTAAGCCTGCCTCAGTCCACATTCCAGGCCTTTTCAGGCCTGCTCTGCTGGACAGTTCCCCTACAATGGAGACCCCAGCCCAGGGGTCAGCCTGTTTGGGGAGACCTGCTACTTCCCCCAGCCTACTTCCTTCCCATCCTGCTCTTGGGGATTGATGACTCATCACCCCTGGCCCCCAGACACTGCCAGATTCCCATCTTATTCCCTTTCTCCTAGTTTATTGTCTGGCTCCCCTTAGCGTTTTTGCCAAGCCACCAACTCTCCAAATATTTACATATCACCTTTCTGTTTATCCCTTGCTGCCATTACTGGAGTGTTGGGATGAGGGTAGTGATGGTGGCAGTAAGAAGAGAGCAGCCATTCCTAGTCCTCAGCCTTACACTGGATGGAAACACCCAGGCTGGGCTTGGGGAGGGAAGGGAGAAGGAAGAAGAAAGATGGAAGTGCTAGGAAACCCTGTACCTTTGTGCTGTCCTAGAATACTGGAGTTTAGAGGGGCCCCTGCCTACATCTCTCAGGTACTGAGAGTCTGTTCCCAACTGTATCCTGGGCTCTGCCCTCAACCGTCTGATTATGAGGCAATGTGTAGGAAAGGGGAGGAGGATCATGCCTACCCTACTAACTCACCACCCCAGGCACAGAAAGAGAAGCAGTTGGGGCAGGGTGGAAGAGGCTCCTACTTCTGAGCATGACTCGGCCAAAGACAGTGTGGTCCCGGTCCAGCGTGGTGCAGTTCCAGCGGTGGTGGCGGAACTGGTGCTGACACTCTCGGATCCATTCTCGGGCACCCTCGCCCACTGAGCGCATGATATCTGGGTAACGCTGGCACAGCTGCCGCTGCCGACTCACCAGACCAGGGATGTTGTCACAGATCACTCGGGCCCCCAGTGCCCCGATGTACCTGCAAGGTAGAGAAGGCCCTGTCAAATGGCCCAGTGTTCTGGTCCTTTTCCTGCCTCAGGAAGGGGATAAGGAGGGGAAAGGTTTGGCATTCAGAACTCAGAGAGGTTCCTTCCCCTCCTCCAACCCACATTCCCCAAGGCCAATGGGTACAGCTTTCCCCACAAGCTCTGGAGAAATGGTTACGCAGCTGCAGAGCGGTCTCTCACCATCACCCGCTCCCCAGCCAAAGACCAGAGTGACACACACTCTCAGAACACGGGCCAGGCATGTGTCACATACATAGAAGCCATGGGCATGTCACACAAACCCATTGCTTGTTTATTTAATAAACATTAAGAGCCTCAGAGAAAAATAAACTAACAAAACAAGAGTCTGAGACAACACTCTTACACCCACATGTAAGAGGCACGTCCTGCAGGGCTGATCATGAAGACGTGGTTTGGGGAAAGGAGGATGGAGACAAGGAGGGGCCAGTGGAAAGAGACATACTGGGCAATTATGAGAATGTTTACAGCTCGAGTCAGACCCATGTAGCAAAAAATCATCACCCCCCCAGTCCTGAGGTCTGGGAAGAAAGACCCTACCCCCAGATCTCCTCCATATACCCTTTATTTCCAGGTCCCAGGGCCCTTCTTAATTAATGAATGTTTTTTTACAGTCATCCTCCCCAACTTAGAAGGCCTGATGTCCTGGATAAACCTGCATGGGCAGAGGGCTATTGGCTGTGGGAAGCCAAAGCAACATATTCCAATCCCTAGTCTGCCTGATTCAAGCAACTGTAAAATGGTTAATTGGGGTGGGTTACTAAAAATTAGGTGGATTGCTAGAATCATCTCAAATTTCTCAAGGCAATATTTTCTCCTCACTCAAATGCTCTTAGCCCTGGACTCTACCATAAGCCTCAAGAAGAACATTTCAGAGAAGATAGGACTGTATCATCATCACCTTTTCTCCCCCACAAGGCCACCAAGTGAGATCTGACCCATTCATCTACTTCTCACTCCCTTGCTGTCTCTCCCAACACCTAGTGCCTTCCTTGGCTTGCTGGGGATCCTCTGTTCTCCTCTCCTAGCACATCAAAGGGATACCTCTCTCCCCTTTGCTAAACAGGTGGGGGTCAAGGAAGACAGTTGCTGCTAAAGGCTGAAAAGATTTTGGTTTGGGCTGTGAATGAGCCTGTGGTTTGGGAAAAATTCCAAAAATGGGCCTAGAAGTGGATGAGGAGAACAGAAGGCAGCCAGTGGGGAGAGGGAAAAAGCTGCACTGCCCTGGGCTCCATGTCCCCACTGCCCCCGCCCACATTTGCGCACCCGGCCCTCACCCACAAACTAGGTCATCGCTGGTGACACCAACTCAAACAAACACTAGAAGGCTGATGCTTGCCTCTTCTGGAGCTCATGGCTGATGGGGCCCATCTGTCCCAGGGGAGGGGGAAAGGGCTGGCCCACCACTGACAAATCCCATGGAATCAGTGTCCCCAGCAGTACTGTCCATCAGGGCAATAGCTTCCAGGAACAAACAAAATAAACACCCCAGGCTGGGCCAGGCCGGAAAAGGCCGCCTGACGCACAGCCTGAGTTACACCCACTGCCGCGGTGCTTTGTTTGGAGAATCAAGACAGTTGGAATTGGAGCTGGTCCCTGTCTCACCACCGTTCTGCTTCCCTAGTTCAGCCCAAGTACTGGTCTAAGCAATGGGTGTTTGTTTTTTTTACTGGGGCTTGGAAAAAGGGGGGTTGGATGGGAATGGGAGACCAGTAATCCAGCCCTCATGAGACAGTCTGGAGTGGGGCAGGCCAAAATCTGGCAAAAAGTCCTTCCTGTGGTCTGACTTAAATCCATTCTGCTGCAGCCCACATTGGTCCTTCTTGTTACATCCTCACTGAGCGTGGGAACATCTGTTCAGTGTCTAAGACAGGAGAATAATGGTTTCTCTACTACCACCCATACCCCACTAAGTAGCTGCATTAAGTGCCCCACTAAGATTCTGCAGAGCAGAGCGCTTGCTTACTGGCCAGTGGTCAGCCCCTTGCCGTTGGTGTGAGGGCCTCCAATAAAACTGAGCCTGAGGCCCCTCTCAATTCAACACATGCCTGCAAAATGCCTACCATGTTCCAAGCACTGAGCTCAGCTGTTAGGGCACAAAGATGTTTAAGGCACCCCCAGCTCATTGACTGGGAAGAGGCAAGATGCCCTTGACTCCAGCTCTGTTTTCACTGCCTTCCCAGCTTCCTGCCCCACAATGCTCTCTTCACCTGCTTCTGACCAATTCACATGCCTTCCTTTGACAGAGTGACTCATACCCTACTCTAGCCCCTTGCTTCTCAAAGTGTGGTCCCTAGAACAGCAGTGTCAGCATCATCTGGGGATCTTGGGCCCCACTCCAGGGCTATGGAATCAGAATCTGCATTTTTACCAACAACCCCAGGTGATTCAGACACCCTAATCCATGAAGGCAGGGATTTTTGTCTGTTCTGCTTACTTTGGTATCCCCAGAACCTAGAACAGTGTCTGGCACATGGCAGATACTTAGTAACTTTGTTAAATAAACACCTAACCACTCTGATTTACTGCCAACTCTCTTTTCCCCCTAGCCCGCCATAAACTTCATTTCAATTACAGCTTTACTCCTGTTGATTTGCCAGCCTATTTGCAGATGTTTTATATTTGTGTCTTTTTAATGAGGCCAGGGATCCTCTTTTCATTTCCCCTCTTACAGTCCCCTGGTGTACAAATTCAGCCCAGCCCACACAGGGCTTTGAATGCAGGGATATAACTATTACCCTCCCTAAATTTCTCTACACCACAACATTTATATGGTACTTTACAGTTCTTGAAACGTTTTCCTTAACAAAAATCCTATGAGACAGAGATCTCCATTTTTCAGAAGAAACTGAGGTTCACACCCAGATCTGTCCATCAGGGCTAGTCAGAGAACCAAGGACATCTGACTCCAGAGCCCAAGCTTGTGTTCATCCCACAAGCAAGAGAGCATACAGTGCTTAACCAGGAATGGAGGCAACCTAGCTCCAAAACTGGTGTGCACCTGGGCAAGTTCCTTACCACTCCCCTCCTAGCCCCCATTGTCTTTATGCGTGAAATGGGGATAATGATAGTATCTACCTCATTGCATTACTCTGGGGATGGAAGAAGATGATGCTCCTAAGGTATTTAGCTGTAGGGTCCAGAGCTTAGTAAAGGCTCATTAAATGGCAATCGTTGTCAGTAACAGTAATGCTAATTTAATAATACTGCTCTGCTCCTCTCCCTTCATGAATCTGCAGACATTGTCTTGCTCTTGGGATTCCCTACATCCAGCTCCCTGCAGAATGCAAAATGAAACAGGGCAGCCCATGCGAGGAGCCCCCTATTTCTTGTTCTGTTTTTCACAGAATAAGAAGAGACCATCTGTTTCCTCCTCCAGTGAGAGGTGGGAAGAGGGAAAGAGTGACCAGAGAGTAAGGGAAGGGCTGTGAGGAAGATCAGACTGTGAGCTGGCGATAGTGGTGACCTTCTGCTCTAGAGTGGAACATGGACACACAGTCAGCAGGCATCTCTTCCAGGGTTTGGACAGGGTATCAATCTTGCTGGTTTTTTGTTTTGTTTTTTCCTAAAGGAAAGAGAGATAATCACCTGACCCGTGTGACCTGCCTTTAGAAAGCAGCTTTCCACTTTTATCTCAGAAGTGATGACCACTGAGGCAGGCACCTGGAGCCTACAGCTGTGACAGGTGTGATGCAAGGATACTGAAATGATCTCTGCACTCATTCCCCATCCTGGCTCCATTGCTGCTTTCCTCCCTCTCACAGGGACTGCTGACTCCCTGAGTATCAGTGGCTTGCCCCGTCTCTAGCTCTTCTACCCAGAGCTTTTCCAAGATATTTAATATGAACCATGTGGGGTGAGAGTAGTAGAAGGGAGAAAGGAAAGGAGTGGGAGTAGCCAAGGGGGCAAAATGGGGGCCAGGAGGCACCCTAGTTGGGTCTTCAACAAGCACTACCAAGATGCTGAAATCAGCAGAGTGACACTTGCTCACCTAAACACCAAGTGGTTCCCAAACTGGTAAGAAGCAATAAGAGTCCCCAAGAGCAAACTGCCATCTGGGATGGATAAAGATGCACAGTGGTCACTTCATCCTCTCTCCATCAGGCCACTGAACACACAAATCCCCAGCCAAAATGAGCCCCTGACAGTTTAGGGTGGCTTTGATCTCACTCTGAACTTTGAAAGGCTTTTCTCCTCATCCCCTCTTCTCTTTCCCTTAGGAAGAATGTTTCAAGCCAGATGTAAGATACAAGCCTCCCTTCTCCCCCATCCAGAACCCCCTCCCTTGCCTTCCCCAACACTGCAGAGATTAAAAAGATCCAAAAGAGAGATTTTTCTGAAACAGGAAAATGGGGGCTGGGGGGTGGGTGTTGTAGATGGAGAGCAACGCATCTTGAAATGATAGGAATCTGCAGCCCTAGCTCGCTTACCCCCTCAGCCAGCCACCCCTCAACCCTTCTAGCCCAGATTCCAAGTCTAGAGGAGAAAAGCCACAGGGTGCAAGGGGAGGAGAGACCACTCTTTGTGGTGGGGAGGGTGGGGGGGAGGGGCAGAGTCAGGAAAGGAAGGGGCACTGCTGGGTAGGGAGGGGCAAGAGCCCAGTCAGGCCAGTTTGATTGGGAGGGGGGGTCCATGAAGAGAAAAAGATGAGAAGACTGCCTTTCTCTGTCCACCTCCCCCTTCGCCCCCATCAACAGAAGGTGGGGGAGGAGGGAGAGCGGCTCTTTCTCCTGAGAGAAAAAGATGAATGCCATCCAGGTCGGGGGGGGGGGGGGGGGTGGGGGGTGGCGGGGGGGGGGGCAGGAGGATTGGGGAAAGACCAGACATCCAGTGGGTTTTTAATGCCTTTTGCCTCATCGGCCCTCTTGTGCAGTGTCTGGAGTCTAAGGCCTGCAAGAAATCTGAGGGGAGGGTCTCAATACTGTGGGACTTCAGAAGCCTCTGGTTCTTGGAGGGAGAGAGCTGGAAGAGATAGGGTGGTCATCTGGGGAAGAAAAAGGAAGAAGAGAAGGATATCAGGGTTCGAAATAACATCCTCCGGGTTGAGGCTGAAGACAAACGCCTAAATTATGGAAACCCAAGTGTTTTGTTTGTTTTAATTGTGGGAATTAATGGAGTATTTGTGCCTTGATTCCACTGATAAACCTTGTACTGGGTGCTGCAGCCTCACCAAGCTGAACTGCAGTCCGGGGTGGAGTATCCTAACGAGAGGCTCCTCGCTCTGGCCAGCTGCCCTTTTCTCCCCCGCCCCCCCCCCCGGGGGCGACCTTCGCGTTCACCGGGTCCTCTGGACCGCCACCCAAGGCCCCAGTTGGGCGATTAGTTCCTGGGGTCCACCCAGAGAGAAACTTGGAAGATAGCCTTTCCCCTGAGAGGCCTGAGCTGACTCGGAGGGGGCACAGCCCAGGGGAGTCCGGGACGCCTGGACCACCGGGCGTCCTCGCCCCAAGTGCCCAGGGCCCTCCTCCCCGGCCCAGCGGCACACCTCTCCACCCCCCCCCCCCACACTCCGCAACTTAGGTGACAGTCCTGCTGGGATCGCCTCCGGCTCCGTCGAAGCCAAAGCCTGGTCTCCGGAGCCACCGGTGCCCCCGGCCTCTGACCCAGCGCCTCGCCCTCCCCACCCCACAGCCACGCTCACCACCAGGACGTGTCTACACGGGCCGGCAGCGTCAGCAGCAGCAGCAGCAGCAGGCAGGCAAGGCCGAGGCGGGAAGAAGCCCGGGCGCCGTCGGGGGCCACGGGGCCTGGCGCGAGCGTGGGCACAGGGGCGCGGGCGCGCCGGGGGGGCAGCTGCGCGGCGTCCTCCGCACCGCCCGGCTTCAGCATAGCTCCCCGAGGACGCCCGCCGCGCGGCCCGGAGGGGCGTGGACGGGGCACCGGCTCGGGGTACTCAGGCTGCGCCTTCCTCAGCCCCCTGGGGGGCCATCGGCCTCGCCGCGGGCCGGGGGCCCCGAGCACCTGGAGTCCAGAAGCCGGGGCGCAGGGTCCCGGAGGGCGGCGCGAGGCACGGGGCCCGCGAGCTCACGGGACGCGCCAAGCTCGGGGTCTGGGACGCGCTGCCCGGCGTGGGGCGCGGTGTCGGGGGTCGGCGGCGCGGCGCGGGCTGCGGGCAGAGTGTGCGGACAGCCCCTCGGCCGCGGGCTCTCATTGGACGGCGCGGGGCGGGGCCGAAGCCGGGGACACGCGGGCCCTGTGGGCGGCTCCGCCCGCGCCGCTCCCGGGCGCTCCGCGGCACCCCCCGCGCGCCCGCTGCCCCGCGCCGCGCCCCCACCTGCTCCCGCGGGGTGACTCGGGGCGCGGGGGCGCCCCTGGGAGCCCGCAGCGCCCAGTCCCGGCCGACGCCGCTCCACCGGGTCCTAGCGCCCGCACTCACAACGCAACCACCGTGGGTGCTGGCCGGGAGCCCCGAGGGGGCTGCAGACACGGCCCCGGCCCTCCAGCCCCCAGTGACGCGGCTGAGCCGCGGAGGATGCACCCATTTTCTCTGTCCCCTCTCGTTTCTTGCGCTTCCGTGAAATGGGTCGAACCTCTGCCTCGGGGAGCGGCGGGAGCATCTCAACTCCCTTTGCGCACTGCCAGCGGGGTCGCCTGGGCGGCCGGCTTCAGCGGGAGGCCTCTCCCCGCTGGGGCTGGCTGCGGCCGGGTCCGCCGACCCCCGCCACGGCAGCCGCCGCAGGATTCACACGCGGGCCCGTGCACCGAGACTGGGAGGCGAGAGCAGAGGGCGCGCGCTGGCGGGGCGGACCGGGCCTCCCCGCCCTGACGGCCCGTCCCGAGCGGATCTCGGCCTCTTCCCGGCTCCCCCGGTGCCTCGGTCCCTCACCCCGCGGCGGGGCCAGGAGCGCGGAAGAATCAGAAACAGCTGGGCGGCTTTCCCGAACCGGAGGCCAGGGTGGGGGTCCTGCTGCGAGAGTGGGAGCCCTGGAGCCGTTTCTCCCCTGCGCCTTTTCACCCTTCCTCCTCCCCACGGCTCCAGCGCCCCCTCCGCCACCCACCCCCTGCACACCGCCTCGGGGCGACGTAAATCGGGGGGGGGGGGGGGGAGGTGCTGGCTGCTGCTAGTGACACTCCTCTGCCCGCACCCACCAGGCAGCCGCCTGGGGTCAGGCAGAACGTTTGGGGTCAGAGTGGCCCTCGCTGAGATGTACAAAAGAAAAAAAATTGTTTTTAAACCCTGGCCTTACAACTTGGAGAATTTGCCTGGGAAATGGCCCTGACCTCTTCTCAGCCTCAGTTTCTCCTGTCCAGCCCCTCATTCCCAGGTGTCTTTTGTGCCTCTCCCCCTGATTTATCTAAACTATAAAGCCTTGGTGTAAACAATGCGCTGGAAACTGCCCACCCTCCTCAACACCAAAATCACTATCTTGCTTGGGGGCAGGAGGGGTGTTAGAGACGCCAGAGTGTGAGTGGACAGGGCGCAGCTGGCTTCAGAGATGCCGCAGACATCCAGAGGCAGATGGGGGGAGGGGGGGCTCCATAGGACCTTTATCTCCTCTCCCACCTTTCATTCCTTTACCTCACTTTTTTTTAAGATTTTTATTTATTTATTCATGAATAAATTCATTTATTTATTCATTCTGTGTGCCTATGTCTCATACACAGAGACCTCGGCAGAGGGAGAAGCAGGCACCCTGTGGGGAGCCGGGTGCAGGACTTGATCCCAGGACCCCAGGATCACGACCTGAGCTGAAGGCAGACTCTCAGCCACTGAGCCACCCAGGGGCCCCCTCCTTTACCTCACTTTCTGTGGCAGGGGACTGAGTGTATTCATTAATGAAACAAATATTTATTTACTCTCTACCACGTTCCTGACTGTGCTGAGCACAACGGATACATCAGCGAACAAGCAAAACAATATCTGCCCTCATGGAGTTTACCTTCTCTTGAGGGAAGATGGACAATACATGGTAAACATCTTAAGTAGAACATACACTGCGTTAGAAAGGGTAAGTACAGTGGGAAAAAGCATTGGTTGTAACTAGGATGATCAAGGTAGGCTCATTAAGGCCACGTTCAGGCAAGAAACTTGAGTTGGCCAGGGAACAAGCCAGGTGGATTCTTAGTGAAGAGCATCCCCAGCAGAGGGAATAGCTAACACAGAGACCCTGTGGTGGGTGTGGGCTGGTGTGCAAAAAACTAGCCCAGGGGCCAGCCAGATGGAGCCCAGGAGCTGGGGAGGAGGAGAGGAGTTCAGCTAGGTGCCATGGTGATCCACTGTCCTACGGGGTAGGGGACAGGCATGGAGCGTCCGGGCTGGCCTGGAGTTGCATAGGAGTCGGAGAGGATTGAGTTCAAAGACCAAGCAAGGCCAGCATGCAACCACATCCCTACCTGCCAACCTGCTGACCCTTCTCTCCCCTTCTCTCCTTTCAACTCAGTCTGGGAGGCTCCAGCTGGCCCTTGCACTTGTATTTCCTCAAAAAGAAGCAGACTCTGCTGAGTGTCCCTGAGAGGGGCAGGTGAGGGAGGAGTGGGCCCAGGCTCTTTCCTGGCCCGGAACCTCTCCTTGAGCCACTCTCACCTCCTCCCAACTCAGCCCCACCCTGATGCTGAGCAGCAGTCTACAAGGTCTGCAAGCTCTGGCAGCCTCTCCCAGACTCCCCTGTGTGCTTAGGCCTGGGTGTGACTCTGGCCCTGTGTTTATTTCTACATATGGGCCCAAGGTTGTGGGGTGGGCTGGAGATGATCACATCAGCCCTAACTGTGGGTGGACTCACCCACATGGGCCCCAGACTCACTTCTGAGGCCCCTTCTTTGGCTTCAGCTGTCTTCACAGTCAAGTGGGACCGTGTCTTGGCACAACATAGATGCTCAACTACTAAAGCATGTTGCTGAGCTAAGGGGGCCCCCAGAAACATCAGCAGCTCCAAGAGCAAGGGAAGTGGGTGAGGGGACAAGACTTCTCCCCAGTGCTTACAGGCTACCTCTGCTCTAGAGTGGACAACCCAAGATGGGGCTCTGCTCCTTCCTCTTCCCCTCCCTACCCCTTCCCCTCTGAGCCCCCAGTTCCCCAGGAGGAACCCCAGGCTGCAGAAGCCAGCTGACTGCAAGAACTCCACTCAACCACTTAACAAGAGAACAAATACAGAACCAGAGAAGAGGTTTTCTGGGATCTGCCACTTTGGACTTCAGATCTCAAAATAAACTTCCAGTCTCAAGGTCCTAGACGCTACTGGAGAGCTCAGCTCCTCACGCGAGGGGAGGAGTTACTGACTGGGAAGTCAAGTACTGGTCTGGAGGGAGCTGCATGGAGTCAGGTTGGCACTTATTGAGCACCTGCTGTATGCCCAGCACTGGCCAGAGAATCCTAAATGACTCAGAAGGAAAGAAAGGGTCTTACTCCCCGGTGTTTTCAGGCAAACACAATAAAGCCACCTGAGGGGTGGCACACTAGACTCTGCTCTTCAGGGCTGCGTACTGTTCTGCAGATTTAGCAGGCAGCGTCAGGGGAGAGCTGAGGATGAATTCCAGACCCCCTCCCCCTCGAGACCTCTAGAGTCCCTGGGGCCGTCCGAAGGACACCATCCACCCAGCCAGCAGAGCCAAGTCTCCCTTCTCCCTCAAGGTGGCACCATAGCCTCCTGCCTATGCAAATGGGACTGCACAAAGAGGGGTCCCCCCCTCACCCTTGATGTCTAACCTCATACTCTGCTTCCCCATGGGGACTACTTTCACTCTCAGCTCTGTGGGGCTGAATGATCTGGAGTTTTTACTGGCCCTTGGATGGGAGTGGAGATGAGCTAAGGGGAGCTGGGGTGGTGTGGGTAAACAGCTCTTACTCTACCCAGGTTGACACCCCCCTCAGGAGGCTCCCCTTCCCCGGGCCCCTTTGGTGATGACCTTCTCTCTTTCCTGGTGGGTGGGAGGTGGTGTGGATGGTAATAAGCAGAGAGAAAGGCCGAGAAGGGGCTGGGGGGAGGTTTGGATGGGAGTCAAGGAATTCCTGAGCCTGCTGCTTGCACAAGGGGCCCTGAGACGCCTTTCCTGAGGTTTCTTTGCAGACCGAGGCAAGTCTTATTTGAAATGGGGCCAGGTTCACACAGGCCCCTCATGCCCCCACCCCTTCCCTCCCTCCCCAGCCACCCCATGCAGGTGTCTAGGGAAGACGAGAGAGCTTGGGAAGAACCCAGGGGCTTTTAAGGGGGGTGGAGCAGGGAATCTATGTACACAGCCTGACTGGCCTCTCCTTGGTATTTATGAGCTCCCAGGCGAGGCATGGAACGTGTGTCAAAGAGGCCAGGCCAAGAGGGCTTTGGAGGGAAGGAGGATCCTGCCCAAACCAGGGAAGGGGGCTTGATGGGGCAGAGCCAAGACAGGGACCCTCTTCCTCCCAGCTAGTGGCCAAATATGAGAGTAGATTCTTCCCCCACGGGGACTGGGAGAAAGGAAAACAGGGCCCTAAGAGAGAACGGGAACCAAGAGGGGAGGCTTGGGGAGGCTTGGGGAGGCTGAACCATGGGGGCGGAGCAAGGGGGTCTGGAGCCTTTTAGCTCTTTGGCTGTAATCAGACTGGAGCCAGGCGGTAGGCGGGCTCACAGCCATCCTGGGCGGGTGGCCCAGGTTCTGTGTGAGGCCAGTGGGTGTGCTGCTGGGATTCTGGGTGGTCACTGACCAGCCTAACCCCGAAGGAGAGAGGTTCCCACTTTGCCCCCAGTCACCCTTTCCCAATCAGCCTGTATCAAATAGTCTAAACATTGAACTCTCCTTCTCCATGCCACCTGTCCTGGGTCCTAGAATGTTCTGGAAGTGAGATTTGCTTTCAGTGGACACAAAACTGCCAAGCCCATCCTATCTGCATCTCTCCCACTCTGTGTCCCTCAGTCCATTCCGCATCTTGGGCTTCCCTGTCCTCTGTGTGTCTCTCTAGGCCTGCCTCTGGCCTGTATTTCTGTCAT